AAAATAAAAAAATGAAGATGAATATGAATATGAATAAATAAGAATTCAATAAAGATCACATATTAAAATCATGAAATTTTATTAAATATGCATATTTTTAAAATAAAATTTTGTACTTTGAAAAATATTATAAACACAAATATGACACTTCATATCATAAATATGTAATTTTATTAAAAGCATAATTCATCGATCCGCTAACGATGGTTACGCCGACTAATACAAGAATTTGTTAATTGAGATATAGCTGTTGAAAATTGAATTCCATATTGAGTACATAGTTAAATCATTAAAAATTTCATGTTCCAAATTTGTGTTCTAACGTCTAACTCATTTCATTCAATTGAATGAATGACACGTGTCGATAATGCTTTCACTATCATACATACACGTATCATTCATCCAATTAAATAAAAACATGAATTGGAATACAAATGAGGGACAAGAAATCTTTTCCCAATTCCATATCTCATTAATCATCTTATTATTTACAAGTATAATTTTTCAATCCTAAATTCCCTTCAAATTCATTAGTTAAACCCTTAAACTAAATCCTTAACTTCTTTTCCCTAGGGGCTCGTTTACTTTGAGGGATTAGATTGATAAGATGAATTGTCCCTCAATATCCCTTGTTTACATTAATTGATTGGGACAGGATTATATGAGTTGGAATCACATGTGGCGGCGGGGCCCACGTTGAAATAATGTGTTGGCAGATTATTTTCATCCCACCAAGAAGAGGTGATTAATTAATCATGCACTGTTCAAGACTTTTTTGTCCTCAAAACTGGATGCAAATGGACCATTGTACCCCTCAAAGTTGATTTAATTACTAAACACACCATAGTCTTATCCCATCCCTCAAAGTAAACATGGGACTAAATGCTGACATGTAAAGGTAACCCGATTATTTAGTCTTATCCCATCTCTCAAAGTAAACGAGCCCTAGTTGTAAGGAAAATGAGTGAAGTGAAAGTAATTGGTGGGACTGAGAATATAGGAATACAATATGATGGTCCACAGAACAAAAGCCTTTTGACTAGATAGGATCTAGGTCATAAGGTTGAACTAACAAGAAGTACCATATAGATTGGGGAATATATGTATATAGACATTGGTACAATTGAAATTTGGGAAAAGGTTTCCAACAAAATATCTACTATAAATAGTAGTACACTTCATCACAAGTCACATATCAATATGCACCAACATATATACAAGACCAAGAAGCATAAAGTCATAAACCAAAGGCATATATATCATTGATCTCCAAATTTTGTGGCTTTGTTTCATCTTCATCTTTTTTCCTCTTTTTAGTTAGGTTTACGCAACAGCAATTGTAGACTATGGCAATAGAACGACACCCTTTGGTGGTTAGCCGTGTGGTTGGGGACGTTTTGACACCATTTACACCCACTGTTGAGCTCCGAGTTTTTAGTGAAAATGGTAGACTTATATACAATGGAAGTAGCTTACGACCATCACAAGTGGCGAGCAGGCCTAGGATTGAGATTGGTGATACCGATTTTCGCACTTTTTATACTCTAGTGAGTAGTTCGATTATTTATTTCTCATGTTTATGTACTATATGATCACTAATCCATTGTGGGCACATTTGAGAGCACTACTGGCTGTGCTAGCGTTTTGAGTTTGTTTGTTCGTAATTACGCCCAAATTCTTAAAAAAAATTGAGAATACAATTTCATTATTGAAAATTTAATCTGTTTATTTGGTTATCTTATTTTATTTTTTTGATTGGTTTGAGCAGGTTATGGTGGATGCTGATGCTCCAAGTCCAAGCAACCCACAATTCAAGGAGTACTTACACTGGTCTCTCTATCTCTATTTCTTGATCTCGAGTAACATATAAATATCAATTTTTTTTCTTTTTTTTTTCTTTTTTTCAAGATTCCTCCCCTTTATCTTAATGTTTTAGAGTATGTTTGGACACTGAGAATATACATCATCTTTATTGCTCAATCTTAATTATATATACTAATGTCTGTCCACATATAATTTATTAGGTGTGGAAAACAGATTTATTTCCTGTTCTACTATCATGTTCATATAATTTATTGGGTGTGAAAAACATATTTATTTTCTGTTCTACTTTAATGTTCCATTTTGAATCTTAATATATATACTAATATATGTCTATATAATTTATTGTGTGTGAAAAACAGACTTATTTCCTATTCTACTTTCATGTTCCATTTCGAATCATAATATATATATTAATAGCTGTCCATACAATTTATTGGGTGTGAAAACAGGTGGATTTCTTGTTCTGTTCCATTTTGAATCTTAATATATCGTCGCTATATATAATTTCCGAATGCGTTGAGCTTAAGTGACAGGCTCGTATGTTTCGTAAGCTTACTTGACATAATTTAGTGCTTCGTATTGACACATGTTCAGGTTTGATTTTGACTATTAGGCTTGGTTGGGAATTACCATAAACTATTTTTTTTTTTAAAGTTACCATATACTACTCTTACCTTTTTTTTTTTAATTCATATATTAATTAGTATAAATATGTATTCTTTTTATTTTTAAAACGTTATGTTGATAAACGGATTAAATCAACGTTAATAACATAAATTCCCCACAAAAGATGGTAGAAAATGAGAATTTTATTGAATATTATGAAGTCGGTTTCAGTACAAAGAGGTCGGTCTTTCAGTATACTTCAAGTCGGTTTACAATGAAATATCCGAGGTGAATATATGAGTGTGTATGATCTTTTTTCGAACCCTTTTCTCGTATTTGGAGCTGCTATTTATAGGAATGTCCGGCACACATCCCAAGACAAATTATTTCCGTTTTAATGAGGATTTGACATTTTAGGGGCGGCGATGACGTAAAGGAATTTTGTAGGCAATGATTAGTATGGGCGCGCCTCTATCTGCGTGACGAGTGTCACATCTGTCGGAATGAGTTCGGTTTGCCTTGCGAAGTCGGTATCTTGATTGATTTCCGATATTCTACGACTTCTTAATAAACAATTCTTTGACCGAATTGGCCTTCTTCGAGGTTCAGACGACTTGTGTTGATGACCTCTAAATATCCTTGATCATTTATAGGTACCGAGGTAAGGTAACCGAGATGCAAAATGTACTGCTTGACGTCGTCCAGAATCCAGTTTATGAATTAATCTTCGTGATTTCTTTAATTGTATTGTAACATCAAGGTATTCCATCTTGATATCAACATAGAGGCCCCTGGCATTAAGAAGTATGCAAACTATGCATACTTTTTGATGACACTTTTCCTTCAATTGCTTTTTATTCCCGAGCTGGTCTAAAGATCTCTTTCGCGAATTTGTGCCGAGTTAATTTCCTTGGATAAAAATCGCATAGTTTGGTCCTTTTACCAAAGTCGTTTTGTATTGTGAAAAGGTCATTATGCGGTTTACGAGAGGTCACGAACGTGGTGTGTCCACTACTCTTCACAGTAGGCACGTACCGAAATTTCCGGACATTAACGTTGGCGGTTTTTGGGACACGCGTACGTACAAGATTGTATCTGAACGTCGTGTCACAACAAAGGGGCACTTCTCTGAATCGACGCGTCATTTAACCACGCGCCTCTCCATCTTCAACGGTTAGAAAACTGCGAGCGTATATATACGGATAAATTCACGGTTTCTATTCACTAAACCTTCATTTAAGCAATTGTTCTCTCAACTTATCTTTAGCATACTTCGTCTTTTTCCTTTTCACCTTCTTCACCGTATTTCAGCAAGTCCCGAAACCTTCAAGAGTTTACATTATTTTTCGGTAAGCCCTAATTTCTTCTTCTCACTTTGTAATTCCTTTATATCATTTTTCTGAATTCGGATTATGGCGGCGAGTGGCGAGAACGTCGGTACGGGCAGCAGCAGTAGGACTGTGTCTGACCTGAGGTTGGATGAGGAATTAATGGAGTTGATGGGGGAATATTATCGGTGGGACCCTGTTTTTGTGGATCGTTTGGAGATTCGCAAACGTGACATTGAAGGAGATGCCGAGGTGGAACGGGATGTTCCTGTGAGGTCGGGTTATTGGAATCGTCCAGCCCGTCGTTGGCCCGATGAAGATGTTCCATTTTTGGGGGAGTCCAGTACCATGACCGACGCCGATGTAGTTCTCCTCCGCGAGTGGGTACGAATTCCTACCTCGGTGAGGATTTTCGCTCCCTATCCGGGGGAGAGGATACATTGTCCTCCTCCGGGTTGTATTGGGATTTTTGCTGAAAGTCTGAGGTCAGGCCTAAGATTCCCTCTAGACAACGTCATAACCGACTATCTGCGCGATTGGGGTCTCAGTCTCAGCCAGATTACTCCCAATAGCTGGAAAAAGATTATTGGGATCATGGTCCTGTTGGCGCAAAAGAAAATCCCCTTCCCTACCATTGACGAGATGAGAAGCATTCTGTTCTTTAAAAGGAGTAGGGAGCGGGATGGAGTTCCTCCCACGGGTTGCTTTTTCTGCGCGGCGAGACCTCAGTACGAATTGAAGATAGGACAATTGGTCACCGGGATACCTGAAACCCTCCATGGTTTTCAGGACGAATGGTTGTGGGTTGGAGGAGATTGGCAGTCTCCCGACTTCCGACTTGAGACTCCAATAGATGGGATGACTGTCCCAACCCGAGTTGTCTCTTCTTTTCGTAAGTTCTTTTCCTTCATTCAGAATTTCCTGACAGGTTGCTTTTCTTTCGCTAACAGGTCGGACCTTTTCGTATTTGTAGCAAAAAGAAAAAAGGAGCCAAAATTGAGCGGGGAGTTCAGAGATAAACTTGAGGAGATCGCGAAACTCAGTGTAGCGGACCGCAAGTGGAATCTGCTGACCAAGAACGCTAAGCTAGCTGAGGTGAAACTTGGACCAAAAAAGGCCATTCCCGACTTCGAACCTAGTGAGTTCTTACAATACCAATCTAATTCATAGCCCTGAACTAGATGAAGTCATTAAATATTGATATAATTTTGGTTATTTGCTTTCTTCCGTCAGTCTACTATCCGCTGTTGGGATTTTTCGGATTCCAATCGGTTCGAGAAGCGAAAGATTATCGCCGTAGGTTTTCAGTGAAAGATACCGAGATGGGTCGCATGAACTTTCTGGCTAACTTGAAGAAGAAGGCTGTTACGGGTCGTGCCGCGACGGGCGAAGATGTTGGAGTCACGTCGGGCACACCAGCTACGGTTGCAGTTCCAGCTGCTGTTATTGAACCCGCAGTTGAGCTAACCTCCGAGATGAATACCGAGTTGGTGGTAGCTATTCATTCTCCACCTCGGGAGGTTGAGAAAGAGGTTGCAGCTGCTCGTCCCGATCTTCATGTTATTGTTTCAAGCTCCGAGGATATCGAGGCCGCACAAAAAACAATGGAAGAAGCTACTTCCCAACAAAAAAAGAAAAAGAAGAAGAAGAACAAGAGGAAAGCGAGTGAGGAATTCGACATTGATCAGGAACGTCGTTCAAAGTCAAGACAAGATATGGGCCAGCTTGACTTGGAAAGGAATGCTCCAATCCATCAGGATGGAGGAGATACGTATCTGCCAATTGATGAGGAGCGGATCTTGGAGCAGAATTTGCCAGAGGACGTGATGGAGAAGTGGTTTACTCAGTACCATTCCATGATCGTTCCCAAATTCAACAACAAATTTCACCAGCCCCCCCATGTGCTAGAAGCAGCTCGGGTTCCGATGATGTCTTGGGATCCGGCGACTGAGGCTCGAGTATCTGGGCTGCCGAGCTCATACAGGTTTAGCTATGCCAAAGCGACATTGGGGAGAGCTTTGGTAGGCCTTTGTGCAATGGAAGACGAATTCAGGATGAATGCCGCTGCACTTAACGAGCGGAAAGACAAACTGGAACTCCGTGACGGTCAGCTGGCGTCATTGGAGGCGGATAAGGCCAGCCTGACGACCGAAATCGAAAACAAGAATGCCCAACTTGTTGCAGCAAAAACCGAGATGGAAAGTTTGGCTACCGAGAAGAAGCGTTTGGAGGACGAGGTGCGCAAGCTCACTGCTCAAATCGGCGCGTCTGAGATGGAGGCTCGGAATAACTTGAACCGTTACCAGAAGGAGATGGAGGACCATCAGCGAACTCGGGAAGAGCATCAGAAGACTCGTCTGGACCGAGCTGAAAAGGAGGCGAGACTGATCCGCTTGGCTGAAGCACACGCCGCCGAGTTGAAAAATTTAGAGCAGCAGAAGGAAGCCTTTGGCGAGTTGAAGTTTGCGCAGGGGTTGGAGGAAGGCAAGGAACTCGGGAAGCAAGAGTTCAGAGGTTCGGAGGAGATGGAGAAGGACATCGAGCTCAATTCTTGCCTCAATCTCCGTTGGGTGATCGATAGATTTGATGCAGGACTGTATGGCGTAGGAGATTTGAAGGCCATCATGCTTATGAAGATGGACAGGTTCGGGTTCGACCCGGAGATTGAAGAACTTCACATCCCTGCCGACGATGATGAACGCGCTTATTGTGAGTTGGTTTTGGCCAACACTGACGCCGACGTGACAGCTCATGGATATCCTCCTCTAGACCCCAACAGACGGGCTGCTCTGCGCAAGGCTTATGTGAACATGGTTTTGGAAGGAGAGAAAGAGAAGAGGGCCGAGTTTGCTGATGTGTTTATTTCCACTCTTGCTGACTTCACTGTCGAGAAGTGTCTCGAAGTGTTAACTCCGGCCCAAATTAAGAAAGAGGTTGTAGATTATGCTGAGAAGTTCATTGCCACTGCTGCTGAGAAAGATCTCGGGGGAACCGAGTTGGTTCAAGGAATCGAGGTGGTTCAAGGAGTCGGTGACCATCAAGCCGCTAAAGTTAGGATTATTCCCGATTCTCAAGCCATGGATGCTGCAATTTACTCCCGGCTCAGTGAGGTAATCAAAGATGGTTCCTTGATCCCTGAAGA